CGGAAAGACATTCAGAAAGGCACCCCCAAGAACTGTAGAATTCGTTGTGAAAGTTTGTCCAGGCTTGAAACAGAGTCTGTGTATTTTGGAGACTTTTGCGTCCGAGCACCTTGGAAAGCTGTAATTAGTAGATGTATTGGTGGAGGATGAAGACTTGTCAGAGCCAGACTCCGTGTAAATCTCGAACATCGGTACCTCGAGGACCCGGGTTACGCTAAGGTAGACGTTTGGGAAGATATACCGGAATGATATACAATAGGGGACGTGCCCTGTACCGCGAACGCGTCAATTTACGACTTCGCCATACGTAGTTTCTCCGATGACCGTGCATTTGAGGTACGACTTTCAACAATTTTTGGATTCGGGTAACGGATCGATCTTTCTGACAGTCGTTTGATTCATCGACCTGTTGAAGCTCCGCTATTTTAGAACTGGTGTGAAGATTTCAGTTTCCTTGGATCCTCCTTTAAGAGGGGGCCCGCTTCAGGCATTTATTTATTTCTATTTTTTTGAATATTCTTTCGTCGTTTACCGGGGAGGAGTCCTGTTAGGATTTGTCAGGCGTGGCATTCTTATAAAGTCTGTCTGCGCCCTCGTAACATGGCGTCCAAGAGCACTATGTTTTACTCTTGCCCTGCTACCCCGTATTCGAGCGAACTCGCCGATTTTGTCACTCGAAATCGGTCATGTTGCTCCGGTGGCTCTGTATGGGAGGAGCTCCGTACGGCGTCGAACGAACGGGTTGGCTGGTAACAGAATTCCGCGTGTGCCTCCGTGAGTCGGTGACCCACTTACCCGGCCACGGGGATGTCGTTCCCCGAATATGGATCAATGCGCGTCCCGACCCATATAACGCGAAGTGCATTACGGTTTCTGGGGCAACCGCGGTGCCGTGCACCGAGCCAGGACACGGAAGAGCATCTCCTCTTTACGGCAGCCTCTCCCAGTCCGATCGGTGTGCGCGCCGGGTGGGAATTAAATCCAAGATGAGGGAACGCATACTGTACGTAAACGTTTATTCCACGCGGTGGCCGCGTTACGCTTACGCAACAAATTCACGCTGCCCTTTCACAAACAATTATCATTTCCATCGCCGGCTGTGCAATGTCAAGTTTACGTTAATAACGCCCCAGCACGCTTTATCGTTCGATTGCTAGCTACGTACGTACACAAATACATTGCCAAGGTCTTCCATGACTTCCATTTTGATTTACGCCTGATAGTCTGAATAAAAAAAACCGTGTTTCTCAGCTTTTTTTTCTCGTAAATTCTCGAGCTTGTGCCTCGCTAACGTTGATGAAATAAAAAATTTGAGTTTTTTTTTTTTGTTGCGTTGGGTGCATGCGTCGATCAACAGCGACAATATCTATTAATGTAATAACCCGTGACCCGTGTTAGCATACAGCGCGTCATTGGATTTTCACTCAGTCGTTGGCGTCGAGTACTCTTCATCGTAATTACCTTTCGTCGACCTTAAGAGACGTCACGTTATAGGTCGTCGTATTCGTTCCAAAGGTCGCTGGTCAGCTTCTCTATTTTCGTTGAAATTCACGAAGCGTAACTGAAATTTCTAATATTTATACTTTGTCGTCGGGCACACGAGAGGCTAGCACGGAGTTTAACCGATCCGTGCTAAACGTGTTAAACACCAATGGGTGACCTTCGCGTATCGGGAAGCGAACCTGAAAAGCAAACGTTACCGCGATGGCTTCTCCTATTGGAAGAATTTGTCCCCTACTATAGTTTCCAAGCCGAAGGTACCAGTCGTTATTGATTCACTCTGTGCAGCGGTTTCGAGCCTCTATTTTACTACCAGTTAGCTGTTCCCTCGTTTTCTCGAGTCCTTTTCAGCGAGAACTCTTGTTCTTAACTTATTCTTGCAATAGTCAGCAGTATCATTATACATTTTCATTATACTTCGTAAGAGAAGCTTGTGGAAAATGTTCGCCCACAGATTATCCTTGACATTAACGCTAAATGCATCGAACAGCAAACCGTGTGGTGGAGATATTTGAGCAGATGGTACTCTAATTAATCCCAGTAACGACCCTGAAAGCTGCTATCGGAATATAACATTTGATTCAAAAACCAGCGACGTTCTTCCATCCTCGATCTTATCTTCGTTCATATATTCTCCTTCTTATTATTACAAAAGATTACAAGATACATAAAAGCAAAGACAAACAGTGTTTGGAACAAGAGTCGTCTTCGACCCCTAGGGGAAGAGAAGCTCGCCATAGAAATTCTCGCGTAGAAGGTGCGGGGACTGGCGCATCGATCCGGTGACCTGAAAAGGGTCGAAAGCATAAAACACCTCGCCGAACGTCGAAGTCACTTGACCAAGTCCGTTAATTATTCCCGGTCAGCACAATTCTTGCGCTAGCCGCAGCGAAAACAGCGCGTCGGTTGACCTTCGGTTAATGCGACCGGGTTTAACGGGGCTAATTTGAATCGTCTAGACGATCGTCGACGGTTCCGCCTTTTATAGGTTATCGAGGCCAATCAGCAACACGTCGTTACGTACCGATTTGAGGAGAACGTTGATCCAAGTGGTATCGCGACGTTTACGATTCTCCCGGTTCATCGATTCGTCGCCGCGAATGCACGGGCCTTGCCCTTCGTTCGAACGCATTGCGTAACGTTACGTTACCGCGCGACGATAACGCTGGTCGTTAATGTGCACAGACTCTTATTTGCATTTTCTGCCAGCCGTCGCAACCGAGACAGATAGAGAGAGACCGTAGGAAACGCAGAAGTCTGGCTAACAAACCGCATCGTGCACGAACAATCATTGGCAGGAAGAGTGGCTTTTCTGAGGCTTTGTAACTTCTGTGAACCTCGTTCCAATGATTGGAAGGTGGTAGCATGGACATTCGAACCTGGTGATCTCTTATATATGCACAGAAGGTGCAAGACTTTCGTCCACGTGACAGTGTAGACGGAGTCGTTGGAACCCCGGAAGACACGTACTCAAGATCTCGTGTGTGTCAACTTACGTTTGAACCTGGTGATCCCTAAGACGACGAGATATTGGGTGGTCGATCGAGTGTTTGCGAGAGAGACAAGAGCATAGCCCTCTGGTGGCGAGTACAGGAGGTAACGCCACAGATACATAGAACGTGCATTATGAACTTTCGTTCAGAGGCACTCGAATACATGTATTTAGATCTCGTGTGTGTCAACTCGCTCCAATACCAATAGATACAGGCCTATAGGTTGCTTTAGTTAGGCTTCAATGACATTCCATTCAGCTGCCAATAAATATGCGTTCCATGCTAGCGCTCAGAAGCGTCCAAGCTCGAGCAGCCAAATGTTAAGCAGCTTGCGCCTAAGAACCAGCATCGATCTTCGTGCAATCCTTTAACTCGAAGAAGCCAGTTCGGTACCGTAGTCTGTAAACTTCCTGATCCGAAGACCATTAACATCCCCTTCGACCAACTGTTAGGACATACCAGTTCTCGCGTTGTTATCCGAGTATCGAAGGAACCGGTTGGCGCAATTTTCTCGCGGTTCAATTTTCTGCCAAAACGTGATCCCTTGGGGATAGGGCGCGAGGAGCAGATTGAAGCTGCCAATGACAGTAACCTCGATCCCGCCGGCTGTGTTGAAGCGCAGCCAGCGCTGTCGAATCGGCGGAAGGTCGATCGATCGTCCCACGCTCCAATTTTTTGTGCAAAGCTCGTCCTCCCTTGGTCGCGTAATTAGCGGGAAAAGAAGACGCTGGCGCGACAGGGACGACGAAAGATTATCCCCCGGCGTCGTCGACTGGGTCGATCGGTACAAGTACAAGGCAGCGGGCGTGCATCCGGACCAATTTACTTTCTCCTTCGTTTTTGTTAAGCGTCTTCGCGAGAGCTAGTCGACAGGACCACGCGGTGTCTCTTTAATTAAGGCGACAGCCGCGTGGACGAGCGGTTTCCAACGCGCGAACGCCCAAATTGACGAGTACCGTTTGGGACTTTCGCGGGACAGATTCTCGCCGGAGGCTACCGTTACTCCGGCGCGAATTGTCCTCCTTTGAGTCGCGACTGGTTTTTTTGGCGACTCGAATATCGTAGGATGGAAGAACCTCCCGTACTCGCTACACTCTCGTCTCTCTCGCAAGCGCTCGACCGACTACCCAATATCGAAAGCAGCGCCACACACCTATCAACCATGGAGACACTCGGTGATCTTAAATGTTCCTAACTGATTGGCATCTACTGCAAAGGGTGACAGATTGAGAACCCCCTCTTACGACGCTTTTTATCCATATAGTCGACAAGGTTCACACGCAATTAGCGTATTCCAGCGATAATGGCGGAACGAATCCTCCGCGTTTCGGCTCGCGGCGGCTTTAACGGTACCCGGGCTCCCTCGAAGCACACTCGTTAGAGCCCCCCCTCACTCCTTCCCCTGTCAGTGTCTCATCCACATTTCCACACAGCAGTACCTTCTACCGTTCTCCGTGGTTATCTTCCACTTACCTGTTGCGATTCGACGGTAATTATCGACCGATCGCCGACTCTGCTCTGGTCTCGACTTTCATGCGCAGCCTTCAGCCCGTTATGCGTGATTCCTATCGAGCGTTTCAAGAGGCACGACGCCCCTGGTGCCCGTCAGAAAATATTATAGCAATCGATGCGGGAAGATAAGCGGTAGGCGCGAACGAAAACGATATTACAGTTTCAAATTAACGAACCACACAACGGTAATAAATCTACATAGCGTGGAATCCCGAATTCGAAACTTGCGATTAACCGAGTCTACTTCATTATGTATAGCATTCCTCGATGGAAAGTTAATGGCTTGTTTGCCGCGAGCTGAAAGACTTTAATCATTGATCCTTGGCATTGCGTAATACGTTCCACTTTAAAAAAAAAATATATATATTTTTCATTATTAAATTTTATTTTACGATTTCATCGCTTTTCACTTTGTCCATCTTGTATGAAAACACCCAGATATGATGATCGTGATCTGTTTATTAATTTATCGAACTTTTTTCTTTTTTGTTAAAGGGTCCCTAGCAAGAGGCTCTTTATCCTCGAAATACGGTAATTATTTATCATGTTAACGATCTCGCCGATTTCAATAATCTTGGAGTATGTCGGAAGGGGAAGGTCACTGGCAATCTAAAGTAAAAAATAATCGTTGCACGTTCCTAGCTTTGAAATTACGCCCATTAGAACGTAACAGGAAAATAATATCTAATTATAAGTTATCTAGACGTTAGAATCGCCGACTCGTCGTTATCGTCTCAAACCAAAACTGTTCGTTTCGCTCTGGAACATCCATGAACTTTTCCCCTCTGGCATACTTTAACGTTATTGAATTCCGTGACGTCGATATTAATGTAAATAATTATTCAAATAAAACGACAAAACTTGGTCGGACAAGAAATTCGTTTAATCATTAACATTCATAAGGCGTAAATTTCCTTTTTAAACGTTCTCGACCTAACAAAGGGTACCCAATAATACTCTCATATTCTTGTAAATTAAAGTAAATTAGTATAAAAGGGGCTAGTCTACCATATCCTAGTTTACGCCGCGGCGCTAGTGGGAATCAAGTTTCAGGTTAGGTAACGGACTAGTATCTATCAGATTTATGATGCTAGATTAAATGCATCAAATATGTGTTATTATTTGTAAAAGATCGTGTTCGAAATCAATGGGTCTAATATCGTCGTATTCTTGTGAATTAAATTAAATTAGTGCCAAAGAGACTAGTCTATCGGATTCTGTTTTACGACAAGGTTAAAATAGAAGTTACAAACGGGGCCCAGTTCGACGTGTGGCAGTGAAGAATTATGGCGTTAGCGAGAGCCAAGTTTCAGGTTAGGCGACCACCTGGTATCTATCAGATTTATTATGCTAGATTAAATGCATCAAGTTTGTGCTGTTATTTGTAAAAGATTGTTTCTCAAAGCAATGGGCATTCCAATAATTCTCTCATTCTCTTGTAAATTAAAGTAAATTAGTACAAAAGGAACTGGTTTAGCAGATTTTATTTTACGACAGAGTTAAATGTATGGTGTTCGGTACGTCGTGTGGCCGCGAAGGGTCGTGGCGCTAGTGGGAATCTTTACGGTTGCTTGACAGGCTAATATCTGCCAGATTTATGACGCTAGATTAATTGTATCAAATATGTGCTATTATTTGTAAAAGATTGTGTTCAAAATCAATGAAAATTAGTGCAAAAGGGGCTAGTCTATCCGGAAGTTATGACCGGAGCCCAGTTGAACGTATGGACACGAAGAATTGAGACGCCAGTTTCAGGTTAGGCGATCGGTTACTATCTACCAGATTTATAATGCTAGACTAGATACACCAAATTTAAGCTGTTATTTATCAAAGATTATGACTGAAATCAATGGGAATCCAATCATATTATCGTACTATCATGGATTAAAGAAAATTGGTGCAAAAGAGGTTAGTCCACCACGTTCTACTTTACGACAGAGTTAAATCTACGAACGGGGTGCAGTTCGACGTGTGGCCGCGAAGAGTTGGGGCGCCAGTTTCGGGTTAGGCGATCGGTTACTGTCTACCAGATTTATAGTGCTAGACTAGATACACCAAATTTAAACTGTTATTTATCGAAGATTGTAACTGACATCAATGGGAATCCAATCATATTATCGTAAGATCATGAATTAAACAAAATTGATGCAAATGTGGTTAGTCCACCACGTTCTACTTTACGTCAGAGTTAAAAGCTACGAGCGGGGTACAGTTCGACGTATGGCCGCGAAGGGTTGGGACGCTAGTGGGAATCGAGCTTGAGGTTAGGCGTGCGCGAGCGCGTAAGCGGCACGAAAACGGGACGGCTTGGCGTGTGTACCCAGAAGGTGTTACTTTCGAAATACCGTCTAGTTCGTGCGTCATTCCTTGCGCTGGCTAACGCGACGTTTCACTTTCGACTCTCGATGTACCGGTCCGAGCGGAACGGCTAAGCGGCGGCCTTGACTACGTCGTTTCGCGTCGTGTCCCCCTCCCCCCTTTACCCCTGCCGTCCCCTCTACCATCGCGGGAGAATATCGCGTACGTACCGCTTGTCCTTCGTGTGCACGCCTGTCGACGGGGGCCGTACGTTCTGTTCCGCGTCTCCGTACGCCTCGGGACCGCGTTCCGTCTGAAAAGCTGCGGGCATGAAAGTCTCCGGGGGAGGCCCCGGAGAAAGAGCGACGCGAAGGTGAAACCTGTGCCCGGTTTGTAGAAAGTCCGCGGAACCAGAAACCACACGCGTCTGGGTTGAACGCTGCCCGACGATTATCGCGGCACGGGGAGAGGGAACGTGTCGTTGTTTATTATTTATTTTCGATCCTTTCGGTACTTTGCAATTTTTCTGGACGCCATCTTGGAATGCACGGAATGGAACTTTGAACTCTGATATTTTACTCTGATAATCACATTTTCCAACGACCACTGAATTTTTATTTACCGCGGATAGAATACTCGTCTCCGGAGATGCTGATATTACGGTTTACGTACGCGGCGCATGAGAAGGGTTGCTTTTAGAAGGCAGTGCGCCCCAAAGAGACGTTCCGAGCGTATCTTGCGCCGTGCGTTGCACGCGTGGGAGCCTCCGCTTATGCGCGTTGAGTTCCTCAAGGATTCGAGTCACCGTTACTTTTGCGCCAATTTAACGCGCTCGCTTTGGGCGACTTTCACGCAAAATGCACCGCAATCCTTCGGTTTATGCGACACTGGACGAACCTTTGAAAGTTAAAACGTGACGTTCGTATCCTATAACAGTGGTTCTCAAACGGTTTATCGTGGTATTTGAAAATACTTTTCGGACAAAGATCGACGTCGATGGCGCCTCGCAGGACATCGATATCGATCCGGTTATTCCGCGACTCTGGCTGATATCCGATCGGTGCATATAACGAGGAAAATTTACCCCGTAATTTCCTAGAATGTCGGGGTTTCTATTGATTACTCGGTCTCGAGTGTCCCTTCGAGGAATATTCGATCTACTCGCGGGGACAGTGTATCAAGGGAGGTTTGTCACAGGCTACTCGCTTCACGAGTATCGTTAAAGGTTTAAATTCAAATCGTAAAACGCTGTTAAGTGATTTTCCCCATTATCGCGTCGTTGCAACGAGCAAACATCATCGTTCGATCGGAATGTTAACATCTTCGGTGTTGCGTCATCGTTGCACGCGTCGTCGACAAATACTTGACAATTTTATGTCAATTTAATTTATTATAATTTAATTCAGAAACCATATTTCGAATTATTTTATTTATTTTAATAGTTAAATTTTAGTTACTGTCAAAGCGAAATGCACGTATGAGCCAATAATGTGTACATTTCGAAAATTGTATACCCAGTCGCCGTTGCATAAAGCCCATTGAAACTGTTGTTAACGTGAATTATTTGGACGATCCGCATTTGTGTTGTCCCAGATACCGACAAATGTTACTCCCGGTTGATTAATTGGTTATTAATGTAATGAACAGTATAATTATGTTTATTATAAGTTCTCCGCGCAGTCCTCGTTACTTGCTGTTTGAGTTAAACAGTCAATTACATTGATTAACTCTTATCGAGTACACATTTTGATTAAACAATCCTTTGAGCATAAAAAACAAATCACAGCGAATTATCGGTCGTAAAACAGATATTTTTATTGCGCATTCGCTTCGACGACGGTACTTTAATATTTTGTTATTAACTTTTAGTGCGTAACCAGACGATTAACAGCGAAAGATAAATTAAAAGCAACAATATTAAAGAAATAGTCGGTGGTCGTATTTGGATAAAGAGTTGAAAAATCATCGTTTTCCGTACAGAAACAATGAACTACCCGAAAGATGGCGGAACACGATAGAACAAAATGGCGCGTGTACAATCGATCGAGCAAGTCCTGGAACGTTTAATATTCTCGTTAGAAAAAACGCGAACGAATTTGTTGTTTAATTCAATACTTTTGACGATGCTATTAGTGACTTTTTTCAACCTTAATGCGTTGCCTAAAAGGAAGCGTAGCCCCGTTAGGAGCGTTGATGAGCCGAACGCGATGGTCCACGCGTTGAACAATCGTCCAAGAGTCGCGAACAAAGAAAATAACGACTTCACCGGATCAAAAGAGACCAGGGTACCAATCTACGGAACAGGTTGAAGCCCGTAGCATGTTATCGCGGGAATCTTTACAGCTTTTCTCGGGAAACTGTAATTTACAGTGCGTCGTCAGTCATTAGAACATTACGGTACAACGACCGCGCTATCCGGGGAATATCGGCTGGAAAAACATTATTTTACGTAATTGCAGAAGCGCAAAATTCCTGGAAGGAACAGTCGTCGACCATTGTTCCCCTGGATTTTCCTTTCTTTTCTTTTTTTTCGTTTTACGGACGACAGACTCTTATTACCGGGACAGGAGTACGCGTCGTTTCTTTAAAAAAAAGAAAAAAAAAAACGTTTCCTCTTACGAAACTGCTTGTTCATCTACTAATCTCGTTGCGTTACGTTAGGTTACGTCGCGGAAAATGGCGTTACGTGACCGGTTTAATCTCTGTTATTCCTTCCCCGTCAGCGAATCGATCGTTTACCGGTGTTTGTACATACGCGCGACACTGTTGGAAACGGTAGTCGACCGATCTGCAAATAGATATAGTTATTGAATTCGACTGCTTCCTCGTGCCCGAGCTCTCCCATCGGTTCGACCATCATTTACATTTATAGGACCGGTGCGCTATAAAAGGGCTCGTATATAAACAGTCCGTCCGTTTATTGACTCACGGCCACGCTGGTCAACGTCCTCGAGATATGTGACGCAAGGATTTCTCAATCAAATCGTAACCGCCCACGCCATGGATGAAAAATTCGACGTTCTTAGTCGAGAAATATTGCTCGACGATAGGCTGAGCAGGAAATCTCCCATTGTTCTTTGACAGGAACGTTTATAATAGTACTTTGACAATAATAGTTGAGGTTAGAAATGATAAAATTAGCGGTACGAATTAAATGCAATTTCTCCCCTTGGAAAGGATCTCATAAAAAAGATTCATTCATTTATTAATGTTATTATTCAAGCTTATTTATTTTGAGAACGAGATTCCATGGTGCGTTCGCGAGATGTTGGCTAGCGAAAGGAACGCGAGTCTGATTGGTCCCCGGCGTCTGGGTAGACTCTATAGTCTGACGATAGGTGGAGCTAGCGTAGTACTTCCCGCGTGATGCACAGCTGGTCAAGTGTACTCAATCGAAATGTTTTAGGACCTTTCGACCCGATTTTTAGATTATCTTAGGTTATCAAATTGATTAAATGATTTTGGGGGTTGAAAAGAATGGCGATGTGTATTGCACGAGACGTCTGGTCGCTTTAGGTACGAGTTAGACGAGTCGTAGGTTAGGTAGCCCTGTAACAGGTTATTCTCCACGGATTAGGAATTATAATTTGTTGTTACGACGTGTTCCAGATCCAGGAAGCGGCGACCCAGCTCGAGCAACGACTCCGAACGGTTGTACAGCGGTTGGAACGACCGAATACCCCATGGATGTGGTCGCGAGGGTTGCCGTACCAACGAGCGTGGCGACTGCATGGACGAATGCACCGCTGCCCTGGTCCTCATGTCGCTCTCATGCTCGCCACACAGTCCTCACAATCCCTTGCCACTTCACTGCCAGCACAATTACGGTCAGTATCATGCGGCGAATGCTTGCTATTACCAGGAACGCGGCAATTGATCCTAATTTTATTCCTGCGATACCGGGAACGAATTACACGACCGAAACACGATCGTTCCCTGGATATCGAATCACGGTTGTCGCTTTCAAAGGGATCCTCCCGCCTGGAAGACCATGCAATTCCTCGAAATACTTCTTTTAGGATGGTGCAACCCGTTCAAGTACATATTTTTATTCGACGGATTATTTTCACACCACGTTTATTTTTTTTCGAATATTATTCAACGCGTTCACTGTCCGGTCTCTCGGCGGCGTATCCAATAGCGTAGCGATGTGACCCATATACGGGTCACAGACAGTGATCGAGATTTTCCGTAATTGAATACCGAGAGAAATTCCATCGAAATCAGGCGAGTTTCCTCGCAGGCTATTTTCATCCTCGACACAATTGGAAACAATTCCCAGGTATCGCCACCCTTGTATCGCGCACGAGGTACCAGGTCGCCGACGATATAATTAATTTGAAAAAATTCCTGCCCCCCTCGTCAAGGTTCCTGGGGAGGTCGAGGAGGAGGAGGCGGTGGCGTGGTCGTCGGCTCACCAGGAGTCGGCGGTACGTCGAACAGCAGCAGCAGTAGCGGGGCTTCTTGGCGAAGTGGCACCCCCAGTCCGCCCCTCAGCGACGAAGGGGCACCGACAACGGGTTCCTTATGGCCGACACCGGCTCATCCTTCGCACAATCAGCAACACTACTCCTACAACGTGTCCGGTTCGTCGTCGAGCAGCACCCCGGGCTCGACCACCACCCTGGACGAGGGCATAGTGCCGGATTACCTCGAGGAACAACACCCGCGCAAGAAGAAGGTGAGGAGAAACGTCGCTCGTCTCGGTCTATCGATCGATCACGCGTCGTTATCTGATAAATTCAAGCGCAACGCGCGCTCTCGATCGTCGGTGTTGCAACGTTAATCCGCTAGAGTCGGTGAACTTGGCCTTCGGGTAACCCGGGGAATTATCTATCGTTCCAGGAACACCGTTTTGATACGAGACACGTTGTTTGCGATTCTTTAATGGAAATTCCAATTTTGTTACGCCGCGTGTAAATATGCGATACAGCGCGCGAAGTACGCGTCGATGCCGGGATTCTTTGGTAATTGAGCGAGCAACAACGGGTAGATTCGTGGACCGAGATAGGCTGCAGCACTTTTCTAAGCGAACGTGCAAGAAATTCTTGGAGGATTTTTTTTTTAAATTGAACCGTGCATTTTGTGTTAAAATATTACCAAAAATGCGTAATATCTTGTATTGGTAATGACGTGCACTTTAAGGCGTTAATGAGACGTTTGTTTTGGATTACCAGTTCACCTTGCATAAGAGTTTCCATGGTCGTGGTATTTATGGAATTACTTTTACCGTCACGGAGACATCAACAATTCGAACCGTTTTCAATCCAATCGATCGTAAGCGATAGTTTGCATCCATTTTATGATCAACTTTCACGGGACTCTTTAGGAATCTCATAGAATTCTGCAGCCAGTCCAATCTGTTGCAAACTACGCTGAAAGAGCAATCGCATTGAAGTCTTGAAAGTTTACTTTTACCTCTCACTTTCTTTCGCTCCTTCTACTTTCAGACCCACCGTTTCTTGTCAAATCCTCTCGGCATGCTTGCCTGCGTATTCGTCAGGAATAAAAATTGCAGGGAATTTCGCACATACGTGAGATTGGATTGGAAAAATTTCTTGGTTCGGATTCTGCTTTGGAAAATATCGTTAGCGTTCTCGAACTTTTCACGCTTCAAAATCGCATCTGGAACGATATAACAGAACTCGAGTTGTTCGGTTAGGAGTAATATTTCGCGTTGAGTTTCGCAGTGCACGTGCGAACAATTGCCTGGAGAAAAGTTCCGTATCTAGCCTTGAAAGATAACGCGTTTTTCTTTAAATTCGAGATAATGTAATAAATTCGAAAGGTCAAGTGCAGAAATCAGTATCAAGGCTCGTCTCAAAGAGTAGTGCATTTTTTCTCTGATACGAGATACCGATTCCTTACGGATCAACAAAAATAGTACTGTGGGATCGGGAAGATAATGACTCCGCTCTGTTCCGTTCCGCACAATTTTATTGTTGCTGTCGTACAACGACGTGACTCGTGGTGCGGGTTACGCTCGACTCTCTGGTACGATCATCGCCACCGTACCAAGAGGCCTTCAAAAACAAAAGACGGTCAGAGACGACGACAACGGCTTTTCGGCTCACGCGGCTCTGGTCGTCTCGTGTGCAACCATCGTCTCGTGTGCAACCATACATTGTAGCGGCTTCGAACGGCTAAGGCGTATGTGGTGCCTTGGCCGCCACACTACCCCCCTGCCAGTAATTGGCACAATTACGAAAAATTGACCGACTACATTACCACTACCATTTACTCTACTATATAAAATACGTTATCCTAACTAAGATTTACATTACAGTATTTGAACAGAGTTGAAAAAAAAAAAAGGAATTTACATGGAGTTTAATATATAATACGTAATACCTAAAAATACATGAAAGTACATAAAAGTGATGGATAAAAATAAATGGTATATGATACTTATTATAATAATGCGCAAGCCTTAAGTACTACCGCGTAATTTGAAATCGATCGGGAAAACGTACGCGTCTACCTGAACGCGTAACACGTTGCTGTATAACCGGCGCATTGTCAGGTACGTTTGTTTGTGTGACCGGCTGATTTTCTATGCTCACGGGATCCGGTCTGTTTTCTGCTAGCATATAAGCAGGCTTTAGCCTTTCAATTGATATATTTATTTCCTTACCTCTAATGTTTATTGTAAATGTTTTTTCGCCTCGGCGCACTACGGCGTATGGACCTTCATAAGCGGGTTGTAAAATAGTTTTGGCTGAATCTGTTCGGATGAAAACATGTGTTGAACTGCTAAGATCTTTGAAAACGAATGTACGATTAACGGAATGGCGTGATGCATTAGAGGGACTCAATTTAGAAAAATGGTTGCGTAGTCTATTAGTAAAATCGGAAGCATTTTCTGTGCCTTCCGCTGAATGCGAAGACAAGAACTCTCCCGGTAATCTTAATGGCTCGCCATAAACTAATTCCGCTGAGGTAGCGCCGAGGTCTTCTTTCCAGGCGGAACGAATACCGAGTAGAACCGTCGGAAGTATTTCTGTCCACTTGTCGGATCCGTGGCACCTTATAGCCGACTTGAGCTGTCGGTGAAAACGCTCTACCATCCCATTGGCCGCTGGGTGATACGCCGTTGTGCGAAGGCGTGTGGATCCAATTAAATTGTTCAGCGCAAAAAATAATTTGGATTCGAACTGCCTACCCTGATCGGTGGTAATCCGTACGGGAGCACCAAACCGCGCTACCCAACCGTCATAAAAGGTTCGAGCTACGGTTTGGGCCTCCTGATCGACCATGGGGAAGGCTTCCGGCCACCGCGTATATCTGTCTACACAGGTCAGACAATACCTGAAACCTTCGGACACCGGTAAAATTACTATGTCTAAATGAATGTGTTCGAATCGCGCAGAAGGTTTAACAAATGTAGCCAATGGTGCAGTCACATGACGGGAAATTTTTGATCTTTGGCACGGTATACAGCAACGTGTCCACGTGCGAACATCTCTTTTAATCGACGGCCAAACATAACGTTGCGTTATGAGCTTGATCGTCGCGTTAATACCTGGATGTGATAATACATGTAACATATTAAAAACTGCACGTCGGAAAGGAGGGGTGACATAAGGTCTTACATTCTTAGTCGAAATATCGCAAAAAATTTCGGAAGACGTGCCAGGCAACGAGACTTTGCGTAATCGCAGGCTAGATTCGCTATTCAACAACCGCTGCAACTCCTCATCCTGGGCTTGCGATTTTGCCAATTCTTCGAAATTAATCGAGTGGTTAACCGTTTCCACTCTGGACAGTGCATCGGCAACGACGTTGTCTTTACCGGAAATATGTTGAATATCTGTAGAGAATTGCGCAATGTAATCTAGGTATCGGAATTGTCGAGGAGAGCATTTATCTAATTTCTGTTTGAAAGCGAAAGTTATGGGTTTATGGTCTGTAAAAATCGTGAAATGTCTGCCTTCGAGCATATGTTTGAAATGTTTTATTGCTAAATAGATAGAAAGTAGTTCCCGGTCGTAAGCTGAATACTTCTTTTCGGCAGATCCTAATTTCTTAGAAAAGAATGCTAATGGTTGTCGTTCGTTGCCGACGCACTGATGTAAAACAGCTCCTACGGTGTAATCAGAAGCATCGCAGGTAACCGACAATGGAGCGTTGACCGCAGGATGAGAAAGCAGGGTTGCGTTTGCTAAACTATTTTTGGTATTTTCAAAAGCCTGACGCGCTTCCGAAGTCCAGGCTATCGAGGTCTTGCCCTTTAAATTGCCGGCTAGAAGGTCGTTCAAGGGTGCTTGAAAGCGAGCGGCATCTGGGATAAAACGGCGGTAAAAATTAAGCATTCCCAAGTACTGCCTCAAATCCTTCGCGTTTTTCGGAAGGGGAAATGACTTTATGGCTTGTACCTTGCCGGGCAAAGGTTGAGTGCCGCTTTCATTTACCCGATAGCCTAGAAATTTAACTTCTTCCTGTCCGAACGTGCATTTACTCGGATTAACAACAATGCCATAATCTTTTAATCGTTTAAATAATAATTCTAAATGGCGCAGGTGATCGGCTTGGGATTCTGAGGCGACCAAAATGTCGTCTATATACGCGTAACAAAAATCGAAACCGCGTAAAATTTCGTCGATAAAGCGCTGAAATGTTTGCGCGGCATTTCGTAACCCGAACGACATGTACGGGAATTCAAAAAGCCCGAACGGCGTTGTAATGGCCGTTTTTCCGACGTCTTCCGACGCAACCGGAATCTGATTATAAGCTCGGACGAGATCTATTGTGGAAAATACCTTTTTGCCACTCAGTTGTTGCGCAAAATCCTCAATGTGACGCACGGGGTATCGGTCGGGAATTGTCCGTGCGTTTAACGCTCTATAGTCACCGCAAGGCCTCCAAGCTTCTTCGCCCTTCTTCGGAACCATATGAAGGGGTGCTGACCACGCGCTCTTCGAAGGACAAGCGATGCCCATCTTCACCATCGCGTCGAACTCCTTCTGGGCAGCCTTGAGCCGGTCCGGTGCAAGCCGCCGCGGCTTGCTGGAAACGGGTGGTCCAGGGGTTGTCTCGATGTAATGCACCGTTTGGTGCGTAGTCCTCATCGGGGTGCCGCTAGGCCGTGTAAGTTCCGGCATCTGCATCAGGAGCTGGTGGTAAACGGTAGTCCCTGCTACTGTCTTCACCGACGGCGTTTCATCCTCGGCTCGTGTTCCGCGGACCGTTAACGACGTGGTCCGATCGACGAGGCGACGATTGCGGATGTCCACCATAAGATCGAAGTGATCGAGAAAGTCTACCCCGATTATGGGTTTTGTAACATCCGCAACCACGAATCGCCACACGAAATCCCGTCGTAGGCCGAGGTGCAGGTTTAACGACACTGTCCCGTAGGTGTTAATTACACTCCCATTCGCCGCCGCCAGCTGGTACTCCGATCTTTCTCGCAATCCGCCTAGCAGGCGGCGCGGAAAAACGCACAAATCGGCCCCGGTATCCACTAAAAATTCCGTCTTCGAGCTGTTGTCTAAGATGAAGAGGCGGCGTGATGCTGGATTTGTGTCGCTGGCCGCCATCAACGACTCCCCAGGTCGTTTCCCTGATCCGTGGCGTTCCAATTGCACGGTGCAACGCACCTCTGCGCGGCCGGACCGAACCGCCAATGGTACCAGCATTTCCCTTGATGGTCCATTTGTCCTCCCGCGGGCCGCTCTCGCG